TCGTTGAGTAGTCTGTGTTTCGCCGTTAGCATCGCGGTTTTGTTTCTAATCCTACTGCTCATAATACGACCCTCCACCGACCTTGGGTTCTTTGGTTTTCTGATTGGAGTAATTGGATCGGTGGCCTACGGTCTCTATGGATTGAAATTTGGAACTTGGATAGTTGTAGGTATTTGTTCTTTCCTACTGGGTTTTAAGTCCTGGTTAGATAAGAATTGGTTGGAGGTCGAACAAGATCACTCACTGCCCAGTACTAGCGCTACCAGTAGTACCCAAGGAAGCAAAAACAACCAAATTTTTAAGTCGGCTATTAACGAGGCAGTAATAGTGGCGAGTTTTTCCCTCATCTGGATGAGCACTTTGTTTTCTACCAATTGTTTCTGGCTGGGAGGGTGCACATCATCCTTGATCTTGCAAATGCTTACATCTGTGGTCATTTTTGGTTTGTGGTTATACCTTGCTTTTTTTCGTCGTGTATCAAAAGCTCTTAGTTCTGTACAGATTCCATATATTCCTCTTAGACAAGTCTCTTAAAGTCATGGTAAGTGATAAGGATTTTTTTTTTTTTTCTTTTTAAACAAGGGAGAATTTTTAGGAAAATGGAGGAATAGCACAAATGTTCTAATAGGGACTTAATTAAATCTTAGAATGGATTAAAGTATTTAATGTATATTGTCAACTTACTAAGAGTTACTAGTGCCATAAGTAATAAGAATTAAGGACATTTTCACTTGTAATTCAACATAATTAAGTATGTCTTTGAATTGTAATTATTTTTAATACTAAGCATACATGCGTGCGTGTATATATACATATATATATATATATATCGAGAAACTGGTTTGCAGCCGGTCCTGCAAATTTTTAGGCGGAACGACTTATTTAAACGACACCGTTTCAAGTTATAGCACTTATTCTCATCCCCAAGGTTACCTTTCTCGCCATTCAACCCACCCTTGTTTCCAAAAACTTAGAAACCCCAAATAATTCTATCTCTGAATTCTTCATCTTCAATAACCACATCACTGCCCAACCCAATGATGGAAACTCATTAAGTGGAGATTGCTTTGGTTTTTTCTGTGAGCCTCCATGCTTTCTTCCACTCATCAGTTTTAGCTGCTGCTGTTGCTGCTACTTATGCTGCTTCATCAATAACCACTTCACCTTTTATTCTTCGATTTTCCTCTTTTTCTCTTCATTCAGAACCCCTATTTTATGTTTGATTTCCTTCACTCAATTCCACTCTTTTTCAGTTTCCCCTTCAAATCTCCGCTTGGAATCATAGAGGAAGAACGACCAAAAAACAAAATGTTGTGGAATAGGTTCACCCCGTCAAAAGTAAGCTTTCTTGGCTGGCACTTTTTGTTGGATCTTTTGTCGATAAAAGATAATCCTATGAGCAGAGGTAATTCCGTGGGCCTTTCAGTTTTTGCCTTTTCTCATCTGGGTATTTGAGTTTATTTGAATTTCGAATTGGGTATTTGAAAAGATTAGTATTTGTTTCTGGGTTTTTAATAAGAGAAAGAAAGAAATGAAGCCTATTTTTGGGATTTTTGTTTCCAGTCAATTGTATACTTTTTGCTTGTGTCAAGGAAATACCTCCTGCTCATATTAAGGGTTTGTGAATTTTTGGAAAGAGGGAAAAGTTGAAGACGAGAAAAA